AAACAACATGCATTTCATTTCCTACCAGTCCCCTGGGGTGCTTGGGGCTGGATGAAGCTCTCCTGGGCAGCTGGCAGAACCTCTGTGGTGCACACTGACTGTCCGGCCTTGACGCCGAGGAAGTGGCCCAGCTAGGCTGAAATGGGAGAGAGATTGAATGAAATTTTCAGTCTAGAGGGGTTGTACATGGTCAAAGGGATCAGGTGGGGCCTCTGCACCAGCCAAAAACAGCCAAGAGGGTGCAGGAGGGGTTAAGACATCATTAGCATTTAAGGTTTTCTGTGCACTTAAGGACTGCTATAGAAAACCTTAAGTGCACAGAAAACCTTAAATGCACAATGGACCTTTTTAAAAAGGCACAGCAAAACAACATGCATTTCATTTCCTACCAGTCCCCTGGGGTGCTTGGGGCTGGATGAAGCTCTCCTGGGCAGCTGGCAGAACCTCTGTGGTGCACACTGACTGTCCGCCTTTGACAGGCCGAGGAAGCCGCCCAGCTAGGCTGAAATGGGAGAGTGAGTGAATGAATTTTTCAGTCTAGAGGGGGTTGTACATGGTCAAAGGGATCAGGTGGGGCCTCTGCACCAGCCAAAACAGCCAAGAGGGTCCAGGGAGGGGCTAAGACATCATTGTGAGATTTAGAAAGTTTTCTGTGCACTTAAGGACTGCTATAGGAAACCTTAAGTGCACAGAAACCCTTAATGCACAATGAACCTTTTAAAAAGGCACAGCAAAACAACATGCATTTCATTTCCTACCAGTCCCCTGGGGTGCTTGGGGCTGATGAAGCTCTCCTGGGCAGCTGGCAGAACCTCTGTGGTGCACACTGACTGTCCGCCTTTGACGCAAGCCGAGGAAGTGGCCCAGCTAGGCTGAAATGGGAGAGAGATTGAATGAAATTTTCAGTCTAGAGGGGTTGTACATGGTCAAAGGGATCAGGTGGGGCCTCTGCACAAGCCAAAACAGCCAAGAGGGTGCAGGGAGGGGTTAAGATCATTGAGATTTAAGGTTTTCTGTGCACTTAAGGACTGCTATAGAAAACCTTAAGTGCACAGAAAACCTTAAATGCACAATGGACCTTTTTAAAAAAGGCACAGCAAAAACAACATGCATTTCATTTCCTACCAGTCCCCTGGGGTGCTTGGGGCTGGATGAAGCTCTCCTGGGCAGCTGGCAGAACCTCTGTGGTGCACACTGACTGTCCGCCTTGACGGGCCGAGGAAGTGGCCCAGCTAGGCTGAAATGGGAGAGTGAGTGAATGAAATTTTCAGTCTAGAGGGGGTTGTACATGGTCAAAGGGATCAGGTGGGGCCTCTGCACCAGCCAAAAACAGCCAAGAGGGTCCAGGGAGGGGTTAAGACATTATTGTGCATTGAAGGTTTTCTGTGCACTTAAGGACTGCTATAGAAAACCTTAAGTGCACAGAAAACCTTAAATGCACAATGGACCTTTTTAAAAAAGGCACAGCAAAAACAACATGCATTTCATTTCCTACCAGTCCCCTGGGGTGCTTGGGGCTGGATGAAGCTCTCCTGGGCAGCTGGCAGAACCTCTGTGGTGCACACTGACTGTCCGCCTTGACGGGCCGAGGAAGTGGCCCAGCTAGGCTGAAATGGGAGAGAGATTGAATGAAATTTTCAGTCTAGAGGGGGTTGTACATGGTCAAAGGGATCAGGTGGGGCCTCTGCACAAGCCAAAAACAGCCAAGAGGGTGCAGGGAGGGGCCAAGACATATTGTATTTGAGGTTTTCTGTGCACTTAAGGACTGCTATAGAAAACCTTAAGTGCACAGAAAACCTTAAATGCACAATGGACCTTTTTAAAAAAGGCACAGCAAAAACAACATGCATTTCATTTCCTACCAGTCCCCTGGGGTGCTTGGGGCTGGATGAAGCTCTCCTGGGCAGCTGGCAGAACCTCTGTGGTGCACACTGACTGTCCGCCTTGACGGGCCGAGGAAGCGGCCCAGCTAGGCTGAAATGGGAGAGAGAGTGAATGAAATTTTCAGTCTAGAGGGGGTTGTACATGGTCAAAGGGATCAGGTGGGGCCTCTGCACAAGCCAAAAACAGCCAAGAGGGTCCAGGGAGGGGCCAAGACATCATTGTGCATTTAAGGTTTTCTGTGCACTTAAGGACTGCTATAGAAAACCTTAAGTGCACAGAAAACCTTAAATGCACAATGAACCTTTTTAAAAAAGGCACAGCAAAAACAACATGCATTTCATTTCCTACCAGTCCCCTGGGGTGCTTGGGGCTGGATGAAGCTCTCCTGGGCAGCTGGCAGAACCTCTGTGGTGCACACTGACTGTCCGCCTTGACGTGCCGAGGAAGTGGCCCAGCTAGGCTGAAATGGGAGAGAGATTGAATGAAATTTTCAGTCTAGAGGGGGTTGTACATTGTCAAAGGGATCAGGTGGGGCCTCTGCACAAGCCAAAAACAGCCAAGAGGGTGCAGGGAGGGGTTAAGACATCATTGTGCATTTGAGGTTTTCTGTGCACTTAAGGACTCCTATAGGAAACCTTAAGTGCACAGAAAACCTTAAATGCACAATGGACCTTTTAAAAAAGGCACAGCAAAAACAACATGCATTTCATTTCCTACCAGTCCCCTGGGGTGCTTGGGGCTGGATGAAGCTCTCCTGGGCAGCTGGCAGAACCTCTGTGGTGCACACTGACTGTCCGCCTTGACGCAAGCCGAGAAGTGGCCCAGCTAGGCTGAAATGGGATAGAGATTGAATGAATTTTTCAGTCTAGAGGGGGTTGTACATTGTCAAAGGGATCAGGTGGGGCCTCTGCACAAGCCAAAACAGCCAAGAGGGTCCAGGGAGGGGTTAAGACATCATTGTGATTTAAGGTTTTCTGTGCACTTAAGGACTCCTATAGGAAACCTTAAGTGCACAGAAAACCTTAAATGCACAATGGACCCTTTTAAAAAAGGCACAGCAAAAACAACATGCATTTCATTTCCTACCAGTCCCCTGGGGTGCTTGGGGCTGGATGAAGCTCTCCTGGGCAGCTGGCAGAACCTCTGTGGTGCACACTGACTGTCCGCCTTGACGCCGAGGAAGTGGCCCAGCTAGGCTGAAATGGGAGAGAGAGTGAATGAAATTTTCAGTCTAGAGGGGGTTGTACATGGTCAAAGGGATCAGGTTGAAAGGGGTGTTGAAAATGCCATGAAAATGATTTTATATTAATTACTTTAGAGGGAAGTTAAGTTGAAAATAATTGAGAGTGATTTTAACTGCCAATAAGGAAACTCAGTAAGACTTGCCAAAGTACCAAAACACCCTGGCAGTATGGTATCTTTGGAGGGATATACTTTGCCAGACATTTAAACTGGCGGAGGTGTTGACATGGTGTTGTTGTTTTTTATCCTTAATATATTTATCTGCACCTTTACACCAGAAACTAGTAATTTTACCATTTGGAGGGATTCCTCAGGTACTTCAGATACACTACCCAAATTCCAGAAATATTTGTTGCCATGCTAGGTTACCCTGGGATATAAATCTCAAATATTTGTTTCAAAGTTTGTAGTGCCCTGATAGCCATGGAAAGGTAGCTTTGGGTACTTTGGCCTGCCTGGGTAACCTTTCCTTCCTTCATAAGACGCCCTATTAGAGCTGACGCTATTGAAATACGTGGAGTTTAATTAGATCTGGCAATATGTACGTACATGTACATATGTATTGTATAAGTATTTAGTTGGTTGACAAGAGATGTTATTGTGTTTGGTTGGAGAGCTATGATAAGTCAGGACTGAGCAATGACAATATTGACATGTGAATGTTTCCATCGCAACGCTAGGTACTGTGGTTGTTCTCGAGGAGGCTTTCTCGCTTGAACTCCTTCACCGTGGGGAAGTTGCGTCGCAAAACTTCAATACAGCACATTATATTGAATAAACAGCACGTATACTTCATGTTTACATATACCTCATATGCATATTGTAGCTGTCACATTGTATAAGGCAATAACAGACGAAGCAGCATAGGTCAACTCCCTCTACTAGTTCCGCGGAAGATACTGTGCCGTGTATGTGACGTAGTGACATAAGCTCCGCCCACTCATGAATATTCACGATTTCTGTGCACTTAAGACCATTGTGCGTTTAAGGGCACAACACACGTGTATAAAATATAAATCACTATCGATACTTTGAAAATAATGCATGCTTTAGAAAAAAATTGTTGTTTAGAAAAAAACGAATGGTAATTGTTTTGTTGACTTTTGCTGTTTATGTTTTTTCTTTCTAACCTATTCTAAATTGTAATTAATGAGTAATTCGGGATCACAAGTGGTCTATAATTTAGGCGTGCCACAAATGAGCGTTTGAATCCCTGTTCGACAAAATCATGTTTCTTCGTTTGTCGGCACCATTCCTGTGTTCGTGAGTTTCACCAGACTTCTAAGACATCCATCCAAATTTGAGCTATTATCGCATACCAAACAGACAAGCTTTGATATAACTGAAATTCTGTTCAAATAAACGCACTCACTCACTCATTCCAAATTAAGTGACGAGAGGTAATCCATCTATTTCAAACTTTACGAATGTACTTTTTAATTGGATGTCATTGCAAACTGTTGGATCAGTTTTACTGTTAATGCAGTGAAACTTTGTAAAATGATCATATCAGATATTAAAAATACAAAAAGTATTAATTTTTACATAAATGAAGTAAACAACGGTCTGGTATTGACAATTATATAATAGATCTTGTTCTAAGTTTGGTATAATAATATAAACCCTCTTATTTTGTTTCGATCATACGTTTGGTATTCTTTATTGCATGTAAATGGTTATTAGTTATATATGCTCTACCACACAATCAATTGTCGTGGGATGTTTCAGTTCAGTGACATACAATCCGACTGCACACGGAATAATACGAGAAGTAGCAAGTGCGTGAAAGTATCATTGTTTTTCATTGGATAGTGTTTATAGCCTATCCAATCAAAATATTCTCTTATGCGTGCTCTATCCCGTGAGGAGATAACTCGCGGAAGGTCAATATCTGACTGGAGCTGGGTTCGATTTGAGGACATTTACGTGTGTTGGAAAGAATTTTGAAGTTGGTTATCAGTAAACTGTAATTGTATCTGTTGACCATACAAAGGAGAAGTCGTCCTCGGATGTGGATGAGAGTCAACCCAGACAGTTCGACAGGTGTGTAAGACAGAGCGCGAGCAGTATGGCAGTGAGGTTCGCTCAGCTGCTTCTGTCTGAGATAATATTAGTGAATTTAGACACGTTTAGTTCGCATGATTTAATTCAGAGTGCTTGGATATGTAACAGTATTTATTTTACAGGAATAGTCATTGAATACCAGTTGCTGTGGTTATTTCCCAGCAAGTCTTTCAGTGAATGTTTCACATTTTGCCGAATGTTATGTTGTAATACTGTCAGAAACAACTTGTAGAAAAAATCAATGACTGTGAGTCAGAGGTAGGATGCCTTGAATTAAAAAATGTTCTGAATATGTTCCAACATAGCTACTTGTGGAGCGTGATTTAATAGCAGTCAGGTTAGTATCACCAATCAATTCAGGAACAGGATGAACCCTTGGGCTCTGCGCTTTCCACCCCATCATGGCCATGCCCAATAATCATGATCATTATCCAGATTGTGTCTCAATGCTTCTGTTCGAATTACACACTACTGGTCAAATGAAACATTACCCATAAATATATCACACATTGTGATGTGAGCATTTTTTGTCATTCTTCATTCTTACGTGTCTATACTCGATGCACATTATGTAGACATACATGTTTCACCATTACAGATGCCGTGTACAAACACAAAATTAAGGCACCGCATATAATATTGAATGCATGACTAATCTGTATGTGCAAGTAATTTATTTTTGTTGATGCACATCATAGATTATTCATCATGTTCGAGGAATATTGCTGATTACGACATTAACAACAAACCAACCATCATAGGATGATAAACTGTTTGTCGTCCAAAACCATTCTTCCAACTTTTTCAGTTTGCAAGCCATGGTAAACAGTGATTGTTTCAATGGAAAAGATATCAGTGATGTCATATTGTTTAGATGTCATAACCATGTTGTCAAAATGTTGTCTGCAAGGCATCGTGATGCAACTCACAGACCAATCTCACCCTAGCACTGTCTTCTGTGGGATAAGTCCCTGATGAACATAGTGAAGATGTTTAATATTTCATCATATTCATTAGTTTGCATGGTTTTAGGCGGTCACTAACGTAGTCGTTAGTGTAAATTCATCCACTACCCATCAAATATGCTTCAGTCTCAACTGCTTTGTCACAAGTCAACAATTGATTCTTCACCATGTTCAGCTCCTGACCACTGACAGTGACATCTTAAGGCCTAAAAAAAAAAAGCTTGTGGTTCCGATTTCCCGACCGACCCTAAATATTCCCGCCGAGCCTAACAATTTTACTCACCACATAATAATTTAAATTTATTTTCTGACACATGAGTAATGTAAAAATATTTTGCAAAAAAAAAATTAAAACCTACCTACCTACCCTAGTTCTGAAATGTAGGAAATCGGAACCACAACATTTATTTTTTTTGGCCTAATGCATGCATCATTGAATGAGTAATGCAGTGTTCCTTTTGTCCAAGGTATCATTCACTATCATCAGCTGATCCACATTTTCCTTTACATACACTCAAATATTTACTGACCACCGTGATAAAGCTGGAAAATTGCTGGGTTCGGCTTTAACATGTTCTATCAACAAACAAACTTTATATTGTAACATTTGACTATTTGACATATGTCACATCACATGTATCTCTCGTCACGATATGGCTGCAATATTGCCGATGTGACGCTAAATAATAACTCACTCACTCACATGTATCTCATGGATGTTGTTTAGTAACGTGTGAGGTATGGACTGTGTACCAATCCATCGAGCAATAGTCAGCAGACCATGACCAGTGTTTCATTTCAAAGTGTTTTGGTCATTTATAGTTATTGTAAATGGTATTACAGTTTACATATACTGTGGAGACATCTGCTTCCCATATTCAAATAAATTACGGTCACAGATTCAGCAATTCTGTTTATAGGTGATTTTACAGAGTTTCAAAACTATTTGTCATTATGCAACATCAGTTATCAGTTTCTTTAAGGAAAATAGTTTTTTGTAACACACTTTGAAAAAAAGCCTTATTTGTGCCGGCTTATTGTCAATTCTGTAGATTGATGCTCATCATGTGAGTCACAGGATTGTGTGGTCCAGACTCACACTGACTTCACATAGATAGAATATCGCTGAATGAGGCTTGAAACAACAAAATATGAACAGCAGTATTATTATCATGATTATACATGTTGGTCAATCTGACTGTTGTTATGGGGACTCTACAACTCAACTTTATGATCATCAGAGTCATCATGTTCCACCATTTCTATCAGAGTGAGTGAGGTTTTATGCCACTTTTTCAATATTTCAACAATATTATGTCGGGGGACACCAGAATTGGGCTTCGAACCCTCACCTTCAGAGTCAGGCACCTTATGGCTATCCATCCTTACAGTCAAGTCGCTAATTGTTCTGAAAGTAAACAGAAAAGATGAATAGAAAGCCTGCAATCAGTCATCCAACAATCACAACAATCATATAGAAGAGGGTATGTTGAGAATAGGGATAGATGAGTGCGTGAGTGAGTTTAGTTTTACGCCACACTTAGCAATATTCCAGCAATATGGCGGCGGTCTGTAGTAATCGAGTCTGGACCAGACAATCCACTGATCAGCAGCATGAGCATCGATCTATGCAATTTGGATACAATGACATGTTTCAACCAAGTCAGCGAGCATGACCACCTGATCCCTTTAGTCACCTCTTACAACAAGCCTGGGTTACTGGAGACCAATTCTAACCCGGATCTTCACAGGTATCTGGATTAAAGAGGAAGACGGGAAGCATATTAAGGAGGGTATGTTGAGACCTGATAGATCATGATGAGCATAGTTAACATGGATAGTGATGTTTGAATGAAGTGTCTATAACCTGTTTACCTGTGCCGAAACCTTTACACATGAGATACATTTCAAATAATGCATGACATAAAACTCATTGTGCAAGTGTCATGCAATACCTGTATCACCAATGGACATATCTAATCAGGTCATTGCTGCCCCATCAGAGGTAACTAACCAGATTTGATGCCCAGCTGATGCTTGTCTTCGTATCCCAAATAGGGGCAGTGGGGTAGCCTTGTGGTTAAAGCGTGTGCTCGTCATGCCGAAGACCCGGGAAGATAAAGTCCTGGGGCTCACATCAACTTGGTTGAGTGTTATCGTAGCCCTATTACATGGATTGATGCTCATTATATAAATTGGGGCAGTGGGGTAGCCTAGTGGTTAAAGCGTTCTCATGTCACACCGAAGACCCGGGTTCGATTCCCCACATGGGTAAAATGTGTGAAGCCCATTTCTGGTGTCCCCTGCCATGATATTGCTGGAATATTGCTAAAAGCAGCATACCCACTCACTCACTCACTTGTATCCCAAATGCATAGGTCAACATTACCCTAATCAGTGGGTTTTCTGTCCCAGGCTCAATTACTGTAAACATACTTTTTTTCGCTTGGTGCAAATTTCGCGGAATTGACAGTTTAGACTACATCGCGCAGTCAATTATTCACTAATCAGTAATTGCCGGAACTGCCAGCTGTCTCTTAGGCCGCCACTAATAGCAATGAAAACAACCAGAGTGGCTTAACCTGTCAGGCGGCGTGTATTGCTTACTCACAGGAAATTCCTACCTGCGCGATATATACAGTAACACATTTACTCACGGAAGTATTAGGCACTTAGGAAGTGAGATATAGTGATGCAAATATAAAGAGATGAAAAATACATCAGTCTTATGTTCCAAATTCTGACAATCCTGGACGATGGCATTGCGCACTGACTGAGTTTGGTTTTACGCCGCTTTTAGCAATATTCCAGCAATATCACGGCAGGGGACACCAGAAATGGTTAAAGAAAGCACCTACCCCCAAGACACCTGGACTTCCAGATCCAAATGATTGCAAAGATGGTACTGAGGCCGAAGTCGTAATCGCTGCAAATGCTGCCGTAGATCTACTCCAGGAATAAATGGCGACAAGTGACACATCATGTGACCCATCATTCCATAAAACGAAACGGGGAATACAGTAATTACGATGCAGAAGTACAGGCTTAAAAAATTGCTGTGTATGCGATTGAACATGGTGTTATGAAGGCAGCCCGTAGTTCTCTTGTGAACTGAAGAATAAAGTCAACAGATGTAACTGTCCGTGAGTATGAAAGCCAGTTTCTTGAAACAGCAAAGTACTAGTAAAACAGCAGAATCTCCACGCTGATTGGTTAAGGCTGTCCGAGGTCAGAGGCCAAAGCTGGGTCAATACGAAGACAAGATTAAGAACTGGGTGAAAAAAACAAGATTGTCTGGTGGTGCTGTTAGCACAAGAACATTGCTTGCAGCAACTGATGGAATCATGCGAAAACGTCACAAATCTGTGTTGAAAGAATTTGGTGGACATGTTGAGTTGACTGATTCCTGGGCTAGATCTCTTCTACGATGCATGGACTTTGTTAAACGCAAGGGAACTAAAGGTGTGAAGAAGCTGCCGTCTGATTTCGCCAACATCAAAACAGAGTTCCTGAATCGAGTACAGAATGTCATCGACCAGAATGCCATCCCCGATAAACTACCGTAGTCATCAACTGGGACCAGACTGGCTCTCTCTCCTTCCTGGTGGTGACTGGACCATGGAAGAACGTGGGATCTCTAAAACAAGTGACCATCTCAGGCATGGAAGATAAGTGGACAGACCACTGATCTACTTTCAATGACCAAGTCAGGTGGTGATTTGCTGCCCCTCAGCTGATCTACGCTGGAAAATCAGACCGATGTCATCCATCCATCAACTTTCCTGCTGACTGGGACATCACACATACAGAATCACATTGGAGCACCGAGGAATCCATGCTAAGATTTGTGGAGAAAGTCATCAACCCCTATGTTGTAGCAACACGTAACCACTGTGATTAGACCCCGATCACAAGGCATTATGCATCTTTGATGTCTACCGAGCTCATCGTACGGACAGTTTGCATGAACTCCCACAAGAGGTGAGGTGAAATTGGGTTTAGCGTCGTGCTTGG